TAAAATAATAAAAGAAAGAAAAACAAAAAAAAAACCAGCAAGCTAGGAAGCAAGTAAAAAAGAAAGTAGAGTAATCACTCTTGCCTTCTAATGAATTTTCATTCAATTCATAGCGCCAAGCGCGAACCGTAATATTGGACTCGGGCGTCTTCTCTTATCAGCCATAATAAATCAGATGTACGTAATTTCTTGAAGAAAGCTGGAGTCCATGGCGCGCCCAGTTGCTTTCGCAAATATATTCATTTCAAAATTAATTAATGCTGCTACTCTTCACTCAGCTTGACGTAAATAGTGTAACGTTTGCGCCAAGTGACGAGAAAAAAATAACTACGTACACAACACGAGTAATTACAATTTTTTTTTAATTTTTTTCTTTTTTCTTTTTCTTTTATTTACATTATTTTTTCTCTTTTTAAACACTCGTACCATTTGCTCTATAAATATCTACTTGTTTTTCAAATAATAAACATGTCTTTTATTTTCACGTTAATGACAGATTTTAATCACCCTGTCATGAAACTTAGCTAGTGCCAGACGATATACCACTTTTACGCAGCGACGGCGGCATTCCATTTCAGACTCGACCTAAGCCTTTCTCAAGTGCACTTACGCTTCCAGATCGCCTGCAACGTAAGTTCTTGCTTGAAATGGAAAAAAACAGACGTTTGTACGCCGACGGTCGCTTCCGCAATGAGCTCACGTGACCTGAGCAGATGCCTAATTATTCTTATGGAGTACATTCTAAACGCTCCAATGAGCGATAACTATCGCTTCGGCGCATAGATAAGCGGCGGACCCCTCGAGGCATTTACAATCGCTCCCATAGCACTCGCTCGCATTAAATCGTAATAACTCATGGTGGGGAGGGGGAGGCTTATCGACGGCCGTATCTCAGCCCGGCGACCGGTCATTTCTCCTCGGCGATTCTTTCTCCCTCTCCCCGCAGAGCCATGGAACGCGACCTTGACGCGCCAGCGATGCCAGATGACGAAGCTGGTCCTCCTGGAAATGTGCGACCGGTGCCGCGAGCAGGATGACGATGTCGACGACTGCCGATTCTTGGAACTATTCATTCAGGAATACGCGATCGTATCGAGTTAGTTGCTCCGTAGTCGGATATTTGTATTGGTGAGTTTAAAAATTGACTGGAAGGCCGGTTACCAAAATTTCATTTTTACAAACGATCGTCTCACTCGTCGGCGTTCTTGTCGCGACACTCGACAACCCACCAATTTCCATTGCTCTCTTCAATTCCATTCCGTTGTTATTTATTACACGAGGGTAGCAAGCATGGCTGGCTCTAAGCGCGTTAACACGATTATCATACGCGTAAGATTTTCTTACACGACCGAATAATTTCATTTATCAAAGACTTTTGAAATTTGCTCACTTGGGTGCTTGAGTTGTTGTGAATTAAATATGGAGTCGAGTGATTAGTTTATTTAATTTCAACGATCGACTTTTCTCTAATCTAACATACATTTTATCAAAAGTTATATATATATATACAGATATAAATTAACTCGCTCATACCTAATGTATCTACCTATTTTCTATTTTACAATCTTTCGAGCGCATGCGCTATCTATTATTAAAATGTTATGGTGCAAATTTGTTTTTAATGTTTCAATAATTTCTTTTGCCTCGGCTGACGTTTACTCAAAAAGATAACCCAGCATTTCATACGGGGATTCATAATAAATATTGCGTGACTATTTAAGAAGAATGCAACGGAAGGCGGAATTTTAAATAAGAACGACTTAAGTAAATAATAAGGATAATTGTGATATTGAAGGAAAGCGATCGGTCCTTCCATGAAGTATTCATTTATATAATAATGCCTCTAAAAGCCTCGGCTCGCAAAACAAATCTTAAAAATCAATCGTTATTAAAAAGCCGTAAAGAAAAAAGTTTTTGTTGGCATGAGTAATAAGCAACAAAAACAAAGGTAAAATATTACTCGTTCCCGCCTCAGGACACTCCGACCTCTCACTCTCCCTTTCACCCGTTCTCGGTCGTTCACTCGCTTCGTCTCAGCAGACAAGAAGACATAGCCACGAAAAAGCTTCTTATAAATTTCGCGTGCGGATAATAATTACAAGGGTCGAGGGAGTGCGCGCCATCATACACGAAAAGTACATACAACGTAAGACGAAGAAGAAACGCTAGAAGCAAGCGTAAAGTTCGCTCGTTCGCTCGTTCGTCCCTCTGATTCTTTCTTCCTTCCATCCTACCTATCTACCTATCTACCTATCTACGGACCTACCTACCTACCTACCTACCTACCTACCTACCTACCTACCTACCTACCTACCTAACCACCTACCTACCTACCTACCTACCTACCTACCTACCCACCTATCCACCTAACAACCACCCACCTACCTACCTACAATCCGTCCTTCCTTCCTTCCATCCTTCTTTTTATCCTTCGTTCCTTCGCTCCTTCGCTCCTTCGCTCCTTCTTTCGCTCGTATCCAGACGCACGAACGAAGCGGGAATGAGAGAGCGAAAGAGATAGATAGATAAGTGCACTTTAAACGCAAGAGTTGTGCGACGACTACGCGCTCGTAGCCCCGAGCTGGAAATCGCGTGCGAGGCACCTGCCCCTTTTTTTTCTCTTTCACCCCAGACCCGCCCCTCTGGAAATTAGAGCAGCGATGGATAAGAAGAAGGAGGGGCGAAAAAAAAAATGCGGGTTGGCCGTCGTTCGAGGGAAACGAAAGCATGAATAAACGGTCAACCACTTGACTCCTTGTGCGGTTGGTGTATACGACGCGCGCCTCTTTTAAGAATAAAAAAAAATATAAAAATAAAAATATTAATAAAAACGAAAACAAAAAAAAAACAAAAAAAAAACAAAACAAGCGAGAGAAGATATACATGACCAAGTTTGCCGGTGAACGCGATCCCTAATTGAGCGTGTAATGGATATTAAAAAAAAAATGAAAGAAAGAAAGAAAGAAACAAAAATTATCCCGCATTCGGGCTTTGTGCTTGTCATTACGTGGAGCTTGCGTCTAAGCATTTGTATGAGCTTGCAATTTCCGTTCGTCGTTGTGAGTTGAATTCACGTCGTCCCCGGGACTTTTTCTTCGGTGATTAATGACGAGACAAGTATGAAAAAACGATATGGGCGATTTGCAAAAGGGCTGCTTGCTCTCTAGCTTGATTAGCGCCCACGAAATTGATAACTAATAGATTGGCCGCGATCCCGTGCGAAACTTAACGAATGTTGTTTTAAAAGCGTTTGACTACGATGCGATATTGGCATCTCAGTTACATAATGAGTCGTAAATGGAATAATATACGATGAGCGATTAATTCTCATTTTCTCATGCCGATGACATTTTTACGATTATTTTACCGATGCTATCGCGTGTTCTTCTTTGCTTTGTTATTTTTTTTTTTTTTTTTTTTTCGATCACTTGAGAATAAAATGTACTCGCACGGTATAATAAATTTGCTAAGCACGGCATTTATATGCTTTAATTAAATCTTAAAGTTATACGTCCGCTAAAATTCTATTACTTCTCTCGCGAATACCAATTATAAATATTTTCACTGCCCAAGATATTTATATTAGTCGTGATGTTCCGGTTAAAGTTCACCGAGTGGAAAGGGTCATTCGGTGAAACTGTGCCACTCCTTTCTTTAAATGCTGGTTCCTATTATTCTGTTATTCTTAACAGACGAAGAAAAGTAAGCTCGTCCTCCCATATCACATCACAAAAATCCTTAACAAATTGCAGAATAAGCGTTATGTATGGATGCTTGTAAATTTAGAAAGTATCTTGCCAATTCAAGCATTTAACGATACGTTAAATTTACTCGACTTTGAATTATGCTGCGTTAAATTTATTTCGCACACGTTGTTAATGCTCGTCCTCCTGCGAAACCCTAAGGACATTACGCGTCAAACCTTAAATACATCGTGCTACGGACCGTTTAAAGGGGGCTCTCGCCCCGAAAATGCTAATTATAATTAGGCACCTTTCTTTTATTAAACACGTTTGACGAGGACGTGACGGTGAGGCGAGGTGGGGGTTGGAGGGGGGGGGGGGCCGGATTTCTCCTGATCGACGATTCGCGAGAATCACGAACGAATTCCCTCCGCGCTGTTGGGAAACGAGTTTCCGCGCTCAGTGCGCTCAGCGCGAATCGGCGTCTAATCTGCATACATTTTACGCGATGAAATTTCGCAAGCCGTATAACGAGCAGGAGGCGTAGACTTTTAAAATTCCATTTGTACCGTGCCTATACGTAATGTCGCTGTCTTTAAGTAAGGCCGAGGGAAATAATAATAGCGCGAAAGCTCGATTCCTTGAACGGGGGCAAATGAGGCGACGCGGCAGGCGACGTAGCGAAACTCGCGAGTTTATATGTTAATTCGGTGGACGAGGCCGCGGAGAATTCCGAGTCCCCGGGGAACGTGAAAAATGAG